GTATAAACGATTTTTTTATTAATTTACTATTAATTTTAATGTTTAATGGTTAATGTTATTACGTAAATAATATGTATTGTTATTTAAATATTTTATATTATCTGAGATAAGATTTTTTGAACGGGTTTGTAAATTATGAAATTATTTGTGTTGATGAGCAATATTTTAAATGTAAAATTTAATCCTAAAAATATAATTACATTTAATTGAATATTTCCAAAGACCAAATATTACTTTTAAAGGTTAAGATAATATTTCATTGTATTTAGTTTTTTTTCAATTTTTATTTTCATTTGTTAGCTTTATGCTAATTTTTATTTACCAGGTTTACCAAGATCAATTCTAACTGTTTTATTTCCACCGCCAGCAGATAATTTGTCGTATTTTTCTAAAGCAAGCAATGTATTTTAATTCTATCATTCCAGTTTTACTGTTCAATTAGTTAGTTGGTTCCGTTATAGTCAAAATTTTTGTTTGTCGTTGTCAAGAATATACGTTCGTGAAGCTATAGTTAATGAGCACACTCAATAAGGTATATGAATTTTGTAAAAATTTATTTTCACACCAGGTGCTATATTATAAGCTATTAATTTTGATAAAATATTTATTATGTCTATTAATATATCAATCATTAAATACTTTAGCGTAATAAGGTTTAGCTATAAAATATTCTATTGATAATAGATTTTAATAATATTTAGTTTATAATTAACAAATATTTTAATAACAGACTTTCTTATCTGCAATTATAAAACGAAAATAGAATTGAATTGCACTAGAAAATAAAAAGTAGTTTTTAAATAATTTTGAAAAATAAATTTAATAAAGTTATCATAATTGTACGTTTTTTAGAATGATTAAATAATGTGAAAACTATAATTAAATAATATTTTTATTTAAATAATGGAATGTATTTATTGGAATGTATTTAAAACGATCTATTAAGCTATTAAGCACAATATAAGGATGAGTTTATTTTGTAATTTATGTTCTTTAAATTTTAAATAAAATTGTTATTGCTTATTATGTATGATTTAATGAATTAGAAGTATTTTATAACTAAAATATTGTATTAAATTCAAATAAAATTTTTTCCATCCTTATTATAAATAAATTTCTTTTATTTGTATCCTTATTTGATATATATAAATTATGAATACAAATATTAATACCATTACTTTTAATATCTATTTATTAATGATTAAAACAATTATTTTTGATTATTTTATTTCATTAAATTTATGTTTAAATTATATAATAAGTTTTTATATTTATATCAAGAATAGAATAAATAACTTATATTAATGCTTTAACTTATATTAAATTAGGAGTAAAATATTATTAATTTAAATTAGTTTGTCAATGATACGAGCTATATTCATATAATTGAATAAAGTTACATAATGATATGAACTATAATCCTAGTTAAGATATTATTAGATAATAAGAAATTGATGAAATGGATGAAATGTAATTGATTTATATGTAAACTAATTTTTATTTTGTTGCCTAAAGGTGCATTAAATGGGCATAAAATACGCACGTGCATAAACCACGGATGAGCGAGATGCATATACACACGCGCCTGAATACACATGGATTTGCGCATAAACATACACACTCAAACATATATGTATATATATATATATATATATATATATATATATATATATTAAAAAGATATTTGTGATACAAATATTTGAATCAATAATTGAAAATTATGCAGAGTGAAAGACAATTTTAATAAAAAGTACAAATGTATTTAAATATACAATATTTTAACTAATTACCTGATACGACAGACAACAACTTGTCCAAACTAGTTTTAATATTGTATCTATTCATGTTTGTACGTGCCAATTATGTTCATTAATTGCACACCTATTATATATTGCTGCTCTTTATTTGATGATAATATCATGCCCTTAATTTCATATAATTCTTATAACTATTTTTAAAAGATCTGATTTTTTGTGTAGGTGCATATAGCTTATTAATTATTTCCGTGTAACTCTTCTTTCTACTATCCTCTGTTGCATTTAAACTATCAGCTGACTATTAGAGAATTTGATTATAATTCATGATAACATAGAAGTACTGAAATATTATGAAAAGGAAATTACTTTCAAATAGTTAAATTAAAAATTTGTTAGAATTATTTTTTGTTATAAATTTATATTTTTTTATAATTAATAAATTATAAATTTGTTATAAATTATTATATTATAAATCAATAAATTATAATTATAACCTAATTATTTATTTTTGTTAATAAATGATTAAATTGAATACGTTCTTTTAAAATAAGGTCAACATATTTTTAGCATGTTTTTTTTTAAATCAGTTTATTAATTTACATAAAATTGAAGACTTCAATTTGCAAAATATTTTATAAAACTGTACCACTGAAAAATCTTTTATATTAGTATTCTTCAATTTTTAAGAATAAAATAAGATTTTTTTTAATGCAATGTTTCTTCATATATATCTTCTCGAATCTCTTCAGTATTCTTAATTAATTAATCATTAAAGTTGGAAATTATAAACTTTAGATTTTAAAAATATTGCAATATTATAGGTAGTATATATAATCAATAATAAATATTTAGTAGACGATACGAAATATGAAGTTAGCTATTAAAATCTCTCATGAAAGTCCATTTCTCCAATTGCCCTTTCAAGTAAGATATAATGCAAATGGTGAAATAGGTAGTCGAAATGACTTTATACAAAATTTCTCTTGAAAAGCAAATATAAAAGGGTTTATGATAGGTGTTTGTTGGTGTGAAAATTCACACATAAGCCAGGAAATCAATTATGAATGTGCGTGTCATTTGAAGATTAAGGGTGTGATGTTTGGAATTAGTGAATAGAGTTTCCAGCTCTGAACAATTCAGCCAAGTAATTGTAGGGTACAAGTAAGAAATGTCGATGATGTGAGCATATTAATATTTGGAGGCAGTTTGATAACTCTATATTATCTTTTATTTAAATACTCCTTTTGACATTTTTTGTATTTAATTATTATCATTAAATAAATAATGTCGCAATCGTAATTGAATTAACTTAGTTTATTGTATATTTTTTTGTAAAGTTATTAACTTATTCACGAACACAAAGTATTATTTACGGAAAGTGTTACATATTAAAATTATTTTAGAATGAAAGTGTGCAAAAATTACATTATTTTTAAAATCAATAATTACATAGTTTTCAATGAAGTATATTTTATTTATTCAATATCCTTTATCAGCTAACTTTAAAAGAAAAAAGTGAATATTAAACACTGATTTTTATAAGTTTATCGTCAAATTATTATAAAAATGTATCGTATAAAGTAAAAAATATATAAATGTTTATCAATGAGAACGTTTAATTTTATTTCATAAAAATATTTATTTTTTAAAATTTACATAGTAATTTCTTTAAATATCTAAAAATATTTAAAAATATAAATAATAATAGAGTAAGTAACTGTTAAATTATATTAAAAACTAAATTAAATTAAAAATTATTATATTTAAAAAACGTTTATTTTAAATGACTAAACATCACATGTCATATGTCACACACTATAAACATTTTCAGGCGTTATTATTACATTAATAATAGTTGTTATTGCAATGGTATGGTACAGTATAAATATATAAATGATTATTTATATTACATTAACTATCTATAATTTAAAACTATCTACAGTTTTAAAAATTCAATATCGTTTGTAATTTCAAATAAATGAATGCAGTTTGATATATAATATTTTAGAGTGTTGCATTAACAGTGGTTTATTTGGAATTTCTACAGCAAATGTTTCAGTTTTGTTGTTAAGTATTATTGTATAATTATTAATAAACAAAAATATTATTAAAAAATATATATTTTTTTCAAATAAAGTTGCTATTCTTTAAAATTGTACATGCATTAGTTGAATTTTAAAAGTCTGCAAATGTTACTCAATACATAATATGTAAAAAATTTTGTATAATTAATTTTAAATTTTATTGAATTTATAGGATGTACACAATATTATTTAGTGAACTACAAATATAATTGAATATTCAATGTGTAAATAGTTTTGTTTAATTAATATTTTTTATAACCACAATTATGATGAAAGAATTAATTTTTGTTTGCTTCAGCTTGTCCTGCACTAATTATGACGCAATAATAGTTTAAGTTTTATATTATTTGTGATTATTTTAGTTTATTTATATAATGAAATAAATAGCTCTTTATATCCAACTGTGTAATTATTAATTACGATTGTAACACAACGAATTATGATTTAATATTTTATAAAATATATATCTATAAATATAAACATAGAGTATTTATGTAATAATGTAATTATTCATCCAATTCTTTTTTATTTCCATTTTATATTTTTTAATAAATCTGTGAATTACTCGTATGAATTCATACAATAAACATTTATGGTAGTTAAAATTCATATAGAAGTTAACGGTATAAATCCATACATTATTTTTAATGAATAATTCTGTTTTTTTTTTTAAATATGCAGTTCAAATTATTCTTTAACGTGGAAAATACGTATATCTGGTTTCTTAAATACATAACGATAAGTAGATTAAAATTTTTATTGAAACAATAATTATAACTGAAAGACATTTAAATATGTTAAATTAATGAGTAGGCTAACTAATACCAATTAAAAGTTATATAGCATATTAATTGTCTGGATTTTCTAATTTTTAATTTAATTTATAAAAAAGTTACAATAAATAAAATTAAACGAAATTGGAACGGCATTTTTGTGAATAGCTTTTGTTATAGGTGACATCATGCGATTGTTACAAGAATATTTGCCCGAATGTTCATTTACATATTATAAGAAGCGATAATTCGTATAATGTATTCGATTATAAAATATATAACCAGTGTCATGTGTACAATGATTATCTTTATGATAAATTTATTCTTCATGTATAAAGTGAATTTTTCCAGTTTATCGTTTACTGGCTCTATGGTTAGAGGTTATAATGTCCTTCCGAATTGTAATTTGCTTGTATCTTGCTTTAACTGTTGGTAAGTTGATTTTTTTAATTTAATTCATTTTTATTGAAATACATTCATTTATAAAATGGTTATAAAATCAATAAAATTTTATTTTACGTTTAATTTATAAATAATTTGATAAAGTGCAACCGAGTGCAAATTTTAAAGTAGAATAAATGCCAATATTTAAATTAATCAGTTATAATTCTTTATGAAATTGTAGTTTTCATATTTATTTAACAATTTTTCATAAAAATATTTTTAAAATTTTTAGAAGCTGTTACTGGCAAGAATATAAGACTTGTTGGTGGCACAGAGACTAGTATTCGGCATCATTCATATATGGCTGCTTTTAAGTACATTTCGAGTGATGAACATATATGCGGTGGTGCTATTATAAGTGCGCAACATGTCTTAACTGCTGGTCAGTGTGTAGATGAGGATTTGGTTAATATTAACGATTTAATAATCCGCGTGGGAACTTCGAATATAACTGAAAGTAACTTGTATGTAGATGGAATCTTGTTTGAGATCGAACAAATTTTCTTACATCCAGACTACATTAGCCAATTAACTACAACTTCCAAGTACCAAAGTGATATCGCTGTTGTGAAGGTATGTTAAGTGAAATTTCGACTAAAATTGTTAATATGAAGGAATAAAAAATATATATTATCGATGAAGTTGTGAAAATGAAATGGGTATGCGAATGTTGTTATTATTAATTGACATTCTACACCTTTTATAATTGAAGTTTCATTTAAATTATCCAATTTTATAAAATTTAATACTTTATCTAAAAATTATTTAATTATTAAATAATTATAAAATTATCAGTCTTTGTTATTTTGAATTTTCTGTTACGTATATACCTTCAATTTCTTAAGCTATTCTAATTCTTCATTTTAAAACATTTTCATAAATTACGTATGTATCAAAAGGTGTATAAAGGTAAAAATATTAATATTAGTCAAGTAAATTTATGTTTCGATGATGCAATTGAAATTATTTTTTCTTTGTACGTTTATAGACAATGTTATTTTATATGTTAATATGCAAAATTTGCAAAAATTTTGTATACTCAAATTTACATACTGTTTAATACTATTTATTGATATACTTTCGTTATCAATATACTATTCATGTATCGGAATAGGTACCAGGTGATATGTATCTATTTTAAATATTTCTATTAATTTATATTCTATATCTAATAAGTCAATTTACAAAATCAAAGTTTTCGTTACTATTCTAAATACCAAATGAAATATCTGATATTATATGTTTGCATTAAACTGTTGAATATCCATATAAATGAAAAATTCAGATGATATTTTGTTTAATTTCATTTACATTTGTAATCAGATATCTACAATGATAAATAAATTAACAATTATCATATGCTACGTTATTTATTTAAAATTAAATAAGAATTTTTATTTCAATAATGTTTTAGATACGAACTTCGTTTGAATTTAGTTATCTTATAAATCGAATAGAACTTCCCACCTCTGATTTAAATTATGGCTCAATTGCTTATATCATCGGTTGGGGAAAAAGATCTATCGATGACTTCAGTCCTAATAAATTAAGAAAAACTTGGATGATGATCATAAATAACGATGTTTGCGAAAGTGCATATCATATGAGAATTTTATACGATCAATTTTGTGCATTTCAAACACAAAGAGTGGGTGCATGTATTGTGAGTTTTTCCACAATTTATTTACTAATATTATTCGCTAAGATTGGTAAATTCAATTTAATTAAATGTAATCTCTTTTTCTATTCAATTTACCAAAAAGTTTAAGAAATAAAAAATAATATTTAAAATATACCTTAATAAAAATAATATTGTTTTTAAAAATTTTTAGGGTGATGTTGGTAGTCCGTTAGTTGCTAATCACATTTTGATTGGTATCGTTTCACTTTTTGATCCATGTGCCTTAGGATTTCCAGATATTTACGTTAACATTTATAGTCATATCGAATACATCTTCGCAATTTTAAATTTATAATTCAAGTGTAAATATTTAATTCTAAGTCATTTCTGAAAATGGAATAAAATGTGTATTTTGTTAACTCATGTAAATATTGTAATCAAAAATTTATGAGCATAAATTTAATTATGTTCCATGTACATTAACTGATTCCAAATGCACTACTACTATTTTCAAATATTTATTTCTTTTAGTCATTCTTTGCACCCTTCAAACTTATATATTTTATTGTAAAAAATATAAACAATAATTTTTTTTCTGTTAATATAAATTTGATAAAAATGGAATAAATATGTATAAGTTACAAATACCGATCTAAGATTTTTAATATTGAAATGTGTTAATCGTTTTACATACATTTTTCACAATATAGTGAAAAATTATTAATAGTATCTTATGGTATTACGTATAATAATACTTAATGAACTAAAAATAATATAAAATATAATAATACTTAATTTTAGTTTTAATAAACCTTATTAGAATTAAAATGTTCTATTACTTGTTAGTATTACTTGAATAAATATTTTAAAAATTCTTGTTTATTTTTATGTTAATTATACGCAAAGATAATTTTTGATTCTGTAGTTTTCTGAAACTAGATATTTTCTAAAATAATGTAATAATTTCATTATCAAAAGTAATAAATATTAACAATAATCAAAATAATCAAAAGTAATAATAAATATTTTTCCATAAAATTTAAAAATATTTTGATATGAATATATAATAATATTTTCTTAGCATAAAAATATAGAAATGTATCATCTAAAATTTATAATGTAATTTAAGTTAAAGTAATATAAAACAGATTTTTTTACATATTGTGCTACAATTAATTTATTTCATAAATTTAAATATTCAAACGCATCTTACAAATTAATTTTATATTTTATGAATTAATCTTCTCGATTAAATAATTTAAACTTGTTTTTATAAGGTAATTAACAGATAATTTAAAAAAAATTTGTTAACAAATATATAAATAATACTGTAGATTATATATATATATATTAATTGCAAACTATCATGGAGTCTATTTAAATTTTAAATTAAATTTAACACAAATTTAAAATAAATACAATAAATTTTACTTCCAATCTAGAGATAGATGAGCATGAATCATAATAGTAATCATAATGTTAATAGCTCGATGTTAAAGTTCTCCCTCGAAATTAATTTTCAAAAAATAATATTATTACACTAATTATTTTTATATCTTTCATTATATCGAATATTATTGGTATTAAGTTCGAAATCTGTGGATAAAGAAAATTTAAATATTATAAAATCGAATTATGATGGATTTATAAATGTAGAGGAAATATTGTATTATTTCATGTTTTCGTCTACACATTGACAGTTTTAAATTATGATTTCATATGGGTTTTTCTTTTGATTAGCTATGCAGCTTATGTATGTATCTAATAAATAATTTATTAAATAAAAAATTCGTATATATAATTAATAAATTTGTAAATAAATTTTTGTAAAAATGGCCATTAATGAAATTTATCAAAGTTGAAGATCGCTTAAAACGAGATAGATTTGAACATTTGGCAGATGGTTACTCTCGATTAAATTGGTAATTATTTCATAATTGCTTTTGTGCAAAGAAATTCTAAGAAAATCATGTATGCAATCTTTCTCATGCAATTGTGGTTGATCGACCATCGCATTAATACGCAAATCATTACCGAACCGACCATTTCTTGTTGGATCGCGATGCGACTTGTGATATTTCATCAAGCGTTCATTGGTATTGAACCTTCTTGTCTCCACATTGAATATTTATTTGCTGGGTGATGTTTCGCTGTACTTGTTTCATAATTTTTTCCAGCCACTGAATTTCATTCCAGAGTAACTTGTTCTTCTGCATCATTGCCCTTCATTTTGTAAAAAGTCTTTCGAACAAGTCATTCAGCTCACCAATTTGAGTTCCCTGTTAAATCTAAACCTGTCACCATTGAATTAGATTTCCTAGATGTTTTCACCATTATCATTGCATATATTCATCATTATATTAATTACATAGTAATATTTGATAATAAACGTTACAGAAAATCAGTTGATTTAATAGCTAATAAAATTCTACTTTCTCTTACTTAGATAAATTAGAAAGAAAATATCAGATGAGAAGTATTTATAATTTTTCTAATTCGATCGATATTATATCGCATCGATCTGAAAACTAAATAATCTGAATTTCTTTTATTATTGAAACAATCTCCTTAAAAAGACTGAGCTTCAATTTAATGACTTCTTATCCAACAGATAATATGATATATAATTTTTTATATAACTTCTTTAAAAGATAAAATTTTGCAAAAGAAAATTTGATGAAGTTTTTTTTAAGTAAAAATTACCTGATCTTCAATTTACATAAAAGTTTTATATAAGTCACATAATTCTTGTTAAAACTATAATCTCTCAAGTGGTTTCGAAAATGTGTTCTCGAAAACGAGTTTTTTTATATTTTACATTTTAATATTTTACATTAATTAATTTATATATAGTATTTTTTATGCATATTTTATTTTCAATTATTGTGACAAAAATTTTATATATTTATGTGATTTAATTAAGTATATACATTAAATATATTTTATAATTATTAATTTTATGTTCAACAGAATTGGCTTAAATATAAATGTTTTAGATATCTATAAAAAAGTGAATTTACAAAATTTAAGAATTAAAATATGGAAACAAAATCTCGATCAGTAAGATAGGAAGAAAAGTTTTAACATAATTTGAACTGTTAAAACAATATTTTATAAAAGTTAAATATATTTTTAATTTTCAAGTAATGTAAAAAAAGTTTTCTCAGTTTCTCTAACGATAGTTACAGCATATAAAATTATTAGGAGTCTTTTAAGAATATATGATTCTGGATGTAATATACGACTGTGGAACAGATTTATAAGCGCAAAACTTATTTTGTTGCAAAAGCAACAAGCCTTAATATTGGAAAAAGGTAGTAAAAAGCATTAATATTGCCTCGAATCGATTTTCTAATCATAATATAATTTTTTAAATTTTCGTTATTACTCCTATTGCAAATTAAAAACTGTCAAGCATCATCACTAAATAGGCACCATTATACATTTAACTACCTTCTTGTGTTCAATTTTGAACTAAGATAGATTTTAGTTTGAAATTTTTTAAAAGATCAATTCACATACGTACATAATCATATAGAATTTCGCCAAGTCACGTATCAAAGCAGATATCAGTATATATACTTCAGCATTTCATTTACTTTATTGAATCGCCAATATCCAATGTCCTTTAATAATAAATTGTGCAATGATGAAGGCATGACATAAAAATGGATTAAAATTCTTTTAATTATATTTAACAAAGCATAAAGTTCAGGATAATTTTGATTTCCAAAAGAAAACTTGAATATAAATTGTTTATTCGGTAAAAATTATTCAATCTCTCCCTCTTTCTATTTTCTATTTTATTTTGTTTTCTTGCAATAATCACAGCGATAAAAAATAATTAATAATAAAAATAAATTATTATAAAAATTATAATAATAATTATTATTTATTATATACTTACGTATATTATAGTTATTATATATGTACAAATAATTATACATTTACTATATTCTCTATAGTAATTACAACACATAATTTTATTACTTATATCTTTTATTTTCTATTAAATATCATGATTTATATAGTTTATAATAAGCAAAGGAATACAATATATATTTAAGCAAAGTATTAAATTATTGTTTAACATAATGTGTAAAAAAAATTATGATTTTGTATAACACATAACAAGCATATTAACAAATAATATATATACATGTCTAACATACCTTGTTTTTTAAATATTCGCTAGCAAATATATTTAAAATTGGCGAAAGTAATCAGCAATATAAAAATGTTGTAAAAGAACAAAAATACAAATTTTGATGTTTTAAAAGAAATACATAACATATACATGAATAAATAATACTATCAATAATTTAAATTAAGGCTAAGAATGTATATAGTAAGGCTAAATGGTTGTATCAGTTTATAAATATTATTGTTATTTATTGATATTATCTATTATTTATTAGTTATTTAATTGTTTCTTTATTAATATTATTAAATTGTTTAAATAATTACAAAATGATATTTTATGAAAATATAAACTCATTTTTTCCCTCGATTATCATGAACAGTATATTGCAAAGGACATGAATTAATTTAACATAGTATACATATAATATTAGTCAAATAAACATGAAAAATATTTAAAAAACTTCATGTTTAAAATTATTTTTATATATATCATATTACTGTTATAATACCACTATACTATGTCTTACAAATATCAAACTAATTTTTTTCAGAAACAAAACATTTCTATTGGAATATTAGTTTTCGAAAATAAATACTTCAAATTGATACAAATGTATAATTAATTTTTCGCGATTGAAAGAAAACCAAACGTCTCGCTTTAAGATTTAAAGAATTATTTCTTTAAAAATAAAATAGAAATATTGACCAAAATATTACTTTTATCGGTAATTTCACGATTTTCTATTGATTGTCAATGGCCGCAGATCATCATTGATCTTGTTCTACGTTGATCGCTTTTCATCACGTTTTATAGCTGTGAATATTGAACGTCCATATGCACAAGAGCAAAAGGAAAGAGAAAAAGAAGGCACGCGGAGCAGAGAGTTTCAGCCCATTTTGCCATTCCGTAAGATACATCGATATCGTTTGTAAAATGCACCTCGCCTTTCGAGCTCTCTGTCCCCCCTTTGTCCTTATCCAGTCTTGTTTTTCTCCTTTTTAATCTGGTGGAATTTCATGGGCATTTTACAAGCTGTGAATATACTGGCAGATTGACAGGAAAGAAGCAGGGAGAAAGCGAAACTCGGAGAAGAAAATCGTATCGAACGTATCACACGAACAAAGATGTATGGCAGAAAAAGGGAGAGACAGAAAGTGTGCGTGCAGAATATTCGGGACAGAGACGGAAGGATACGAAGAAGGGATGGCATAGAAGAGATGACGATGACGGGACGGCGCGGGCAGGAGAGAGTGGAAGGAAGAGAAAGAGAGAGAAAGAGAGCAACAAAGAGCACGCGCGAGAGAGAGAGAGAGAGAGAGAGAAAAATCGACGCTTACCATTACAATTAGGTCTATGCTCCTCAGAAGGAATGCCTTGAAATATCAGACACAACGTATGTTATGGGCTTCAATGACATTATTGATGGACAAATGCATTATTCTTATAATTGCACGTTTGTATTTCACTAAAAATTATGTACATAATGGATGATACATTCGGTACGCAATCACATTACAAAATATTATTTTTTAATTTAAAGTACGATTTGTTGTTATAGATTTGTAAGATTGTATTAGATTATATTAATTTATAGATTATAAGAGATTTTTAAATATTTTATTGCTTTATATTTTCTACAATATTTTTATACATTTTATTATATTTTTTCCATAATTAATGGAAACGATAAAAACAATATTTTCAATATTATCTTTAACATTTACTAATCTACATTAATAAATACGTATTTATTACAATATTGTAAGGAAATCAACAAATTCTTAAATCGATTGATTCAATTTTCTTTTTTATTTCATTGCTGTAATTATTATTATCTTTATCAATGCTATTATATTTAGTAGTACATTTAGTCGGAAATATAATATAAATAGTTAACTATTTATTGACAAGCTTTATCAAGATAATAACAGAAATTTACAATTAAGCCATAGGTGAAAAAAATGTGACGAGCGGTGATAATAAAGAGGGGGGAGGAAACGGTAAAAAAGGATCCCTTTATGAAAATGTAAGTTCTGCATTAACAGAATTAAAAAATATTCCTTGACTTCATAATAATTAATAGTGTATGCTTTACGTGCTTCCATTACCAAAAGCAGGTTTTCATAACTTCATCTGCATTTTGCTTTGAAGTCACCGTAGATCTTTACATTATATACAATTAACTACATTTATTATTTATAAATTATCGTTCGCGTAGAATTTTTTTTATATTCATATAATAACAATATACATATAATAATAATAAAATTGTTATTAAATATAATTTTATTAACAATAATTAATAATTTATATTAAAATTACTAAATGTATTTTGAACGTATTTCAAACAATAATATTAAAAATGGTCTAAGGGATTCATAAATTCGTGTTCTTATCTTAGCTTATAAAATAATAACAAAATTCATTATAGAATCAAATACACACCATAATTAAGATAATTATGATAAAATTCTTCATAATTTTATGAAACCTTTATAATATATATTATATATTTATGAACTGACCAATAAAATCTTGTACTTTGAAGTTGTGACCATTCTTAGTCGGGTAATTCCGAGAATGTAAAGTAGTTAAGGCCTAATGCATTATCATATATTTTGCAGTGTGGGAAAATTTTAATTTTAAAATACTTGGTTGAATTAAACAGTTACATAGAATTTCAAACCTTATAGATTATATAAAATGTATGGTGTTTTGCATTATATTTAGTTTGCTTTTGGCAGTTGAACTGGCATGTCGGTGCCGGTAATTTTCACAGTGTGCTTTCATTTTTGAAATACAAGACCATAAGATTTAGAAGCTTTATCTTAGCTTTAGAAGCTTTATCTTAGCTTTAGAAGCTTTATCTTAGTTTTAGAAGAATTTATCTTATAATTTTAAATCTAGTTTTATCAAAATCTATTATTGTTTAGTGCCTGACGTAAGCGATAATAAAATTAATTTTTTAAGTTAAAATTAACTTTAATTAATAAAATGGATTGTGATATTCTACAATGGGGTGTGAAAATGGGTGTTGATATACCAAAACTAAATAACCCCGATACATTTCGTATTTCAACTATTTATGCAGATAATAATGGAACGAATAAAACTGATTATATTATAAATTGGATCTCAACAAAAGCCAGTGAACATTCCGAAATATGCCAACTTTTCAAATTTCGACGCATCAACCTCGCCAAAGATCTTGAGAATCTCGTTTCAAAAGCCGACATAAAGTGTAATTTCTGTGGTGATTTTTCTATCCATTCTGCCGTTCTCTATGGAAATATCAAGATTCTAGATATTTTTTTGAAATGCGGAGTGCAGGTAAACGTAGCGAACAACAACGGAGAGACTCCACTTCATTTAGCCTGCAGCGATAGCAATTTAGAGATGATCCAATACCTTGTTAACTACGGAGCCGACGTGAATGAAAAAGATAATACAGGACTTACACCCCTTCACGTCTGCCTTGCCAAGTATCATACGGATACAGCTGAATTTTTATTAAAAAATAATGCGCAAGTCGATATGTATTTGTCTGAGAAACTGAAAATTACACCTCTACATTGGGCTATTAAAAAGGATTTTCAATCTATGGCAAATTTATTAATAACTTACGGCGCAAATGTGAATGCTAGAGATTATAAAAATCATACACCAGTATATCTTGCAGTAGTGCTAAACGATATTGATACTTTAGCGTATTTAATTAAACAAAAGGCGTACGTGAACGGAAGATATAGAAAAGGCAGAACGATCTTACACTTGGCTTGTAAAAATGAACAAGAGCATTGTACAAAATTACTTTTGGAAGCTGGTGCAAATGCCAATTCTAAGGACAAATATAAAATGAATGCACTACATTTTGTAGCTAAAACTAACAAAGTATCCATAGTCCAGCTACTGGTTATGCACGGATGTGACATCAACACTCGTGACAGGTGGTCAAGGTCGCCACTTGATTTGGCTATAATGAACAATAATTCGGCAATGGTTGTTTCACTTTTGAATTATGGTGCATCAACCTGTGAAATTGCCAGAACACTACATAATGCAACGAAGCAACGATTCAAGGATGTAATCAGGATTTTGTTTCAAAGAGGAGTTCACGTAGATATTCCGGATAAATTTGGCAAAACGCCGTTGATGGTCGCTGTCGAACATGGGGATCTGGAGATGGTAGAATATCTTTTGAGATCCGGTGCTAATCCAAATGCACGGGGGAAAGCAGGTAGACCGATGGTGACCGAAGCCGTTTTTCAAGGAAATGCTAGTTTATTGAAAATGTTGCTCGAAAACGGAGCAACTACATGTTCAATGGATAATATGGGTAGGACACCTTTGTATCACGCCATTCGCACGAAAGATTCAAAAATTATTAAAATTTTGGTTGAAATTGGTAGTAAAATGATTGCTAACAATATCTCATATTATTTGACTTCATCCGATGAAAGTGCTTGCGGCAGTATCGATGTAAATTTAAAAACTGAAAATGTTACTAAGAGCGTTCGAAAAATGAAGAATCTTATTCAAACAGTGGACTGACTTCAAAGATTAAATTTTCTATGTTCCTAAATAAATCTTAATAAAAATTGTATAGATTTCGTATGTATATTTATAAAAATTAGTTTATAAAATTCGTATTTATCTTAATATATATATATTAAAACGAAAAACGCTAAGTGTATACATACATATATATTTATATTTTCATCTATAAATGTAGATATTACATATTGTATCTCGATAATAGATGTCATTTAATTTTAAGCTGCTGTATTTATCGATTAAATTAAGCGAAATTCAAGAACGTTTTGTAGTTATCTAATAATTTAGATTTTGTAATCATTAATTTTTAAGATTTTATTGACTTTTATCTTGTTAATTGTTTATATTAATCTTTTATATGTAAATATATAATTGTACGACAATATAATGAAGGAATATAGTATTTTAATTAAAATAATAAACCAATTAATTATGTTCATAAAACTATTGTTTTAAATAAATTCAATTATATTAAGAATAATGTGATAAATTTGTATTTTATGAAATTACATAGTATCAATAAAATATATACCTTTTCAATAATTATTGCTTTAATTTATAATAAAGGAATAATAAAAAATTATAACATGATACAAACATTAACATTACATTCTATATATTCATTTTATTCTCTACCTTCAATTTCATTTTTAATAATCATTGTTATAATTAAAAGTAATTCTTTATCATTGATAATATATTAGCAATCCGAGATTATATAATTTTTTACTTATCACCTATAATTAAAAAGAATATTCAATACAATTTGTTTAATTATTTAGTAGTAAGATAAGCTTATGTGAAATATTATAATAATATTTATAATATTTATAATATTGTAATAATATTTATAATGAAATGGCTTATATATTCTACGTATATTGATGCATTATATAAGTAGTCGTATAATATTTATTTTCTATTATCTTTTTAAAGCTTTTAAATTCTGAAACGAAACGTAGCAAATATACTAAAATACAATAAATTGTTAGTATTAAACAGATATTATTATACTTATGATTATGAAATTTTTTAATCAGGAACGAATTTTTATTTTAAAAAACTTAATTAAATTTGATATTGGCTATATTATAAGTTTAATATTAAATCTAGTAATAAATTTTATTTTTGCAATTAATAAAGGTATCCTTTAAAATATTATTTTATGTTACATATATTCGTTTTTTAGTTGCAAAATAGATCTTGAGTATTTTAACATATGTAGATGATTTTTTTATATTAATTTTATAATTACTAATATTATACTCTAATTTTCAGATTTATTTTTTAAAATACAATTTATTCGTTTAGAAAGATCGTAATATAATAAAACGATATTTTTATTATAAGTGGAATCGATTACAGGATTTACTTTAAAATAAATCACTTCTACAATTTATATTTGTCCATTTTACGTACATTATTTCGGTTATATAAAAGTATACGAGCTTTAGATATTCATTAGTAATTTTATTATTGCATAAAGATTTTTTATGGTAACAATTATGGAGTTGATTAAAATTAATAAACGCTATGAATACGTGCGTGTATATTTACAGATCTTAAATTAAAGATTAAATCTGAAATTATAAATTGTTAGCATTAAAAAAAATTTCAAATAGTTTTGAAAAATTATGGCTAAAGTTGATAATAATTATATTCGATAATTGTGCGTGATATACACGATGATACGAATTATGAAATAAAAATTATATATTTTAAATAATAATATTACATTGTATAATTTTATTTCGTACATACATGATTTAAAACTATAATTAAACATGAAAAAAAATTTGAATTTAAAAATTTCATAAGTTTCTTCGAAGCTATCATTACCTAATATACCTATTTATTATTGAGTATTCATACTTAAAGTTTGTAATTAATTGAACAACAAATTATTTTAAATATTATATTAGAACTCATTACTTTATGTATATGGATAATGAATTTGTTCAAATTAAAATTTGTTTTGAAAATTGTTTATTCTGTTGGTTAAACGTGCTTTTGGCATACAAATGGTATATTATCTGATTGGTAACTTTGTTCTCACAATTGACTACAGTTTATTAAAAAAAAAATTTTATGTACAATAAAATTTTTATTTATGATTCATTAAGTAAAAAATTTATTACTTAATCAATGTAAAAATTTGAAACGCTACATTTTCAAAGGCTATCATGAGACAATTGATAAAGACCGTAGTGTAATATTGAGCATATGTAAAAAATATTTGTTTGGATAATATTTATTTGTTCGTATAACTTTTACATTGATTAAATCTCATCGGTTTTCATACTTTGATACTATGGAATAACAAATAAATTGGTATATATACCTTCAACTACTTTATTCTTTGCTTATTTATTGAATTTAATAATTATGTATTTTTATTTGAAATTATGTAATAAATAAGATTATCATTATGTATTAAGAACATTAGTTTTACTCAAGAAACAATTGTTTTGTAATTGTACTATCAAATACAATATATCAGAATAACCGGGATAAGACAAATTTTATTTATTTTGCCGCATGCACAAATGTGATAGTAATAATTCACCGTAGCAATTATACGTAAAAAATGATAATACAATTATGCCTCGGCAATATAAAAATATAGCAAACTATTATATTATACATAAATCTAGCATTAAATTAATATTATTAGTAAAAAACGAGATCTATTTTGGATCTCTAAATTAAACATTTATGGATGGCTGGTCATTGTGGTTTTTCATATTAGAAAATATCCCTTAAAGAACATCAGTTGTGGATTCCTTCATTTTATTGAAATTTGTCTTATTTAGGACGGAGGCGAGCTTTCACTTTTATATTACATCGTAAGTCCTGATTTCAATTTTCGACGTTAGATAAATTTGATCTCAGATATCTTTATTGCTGCTTCAGTGTATCATTTTAAATAGTGCACAGGAGAAAATCATTCCAAGAAGCTGTAACAAGAATTATTATTTTTATTATATAGTTTGTAAATTAAAAAAATTTGAATAAATTTTAAAAATAATAGTTTTATTATTATTATTAATCATCTCAATGTAATGGAGATAATTTTCAACTGTCAAATGAATTTTTTTTACTTGATACATTTCGTAAATATATCATTCACCGTAATATAATATCAATATAAATCAAACTCTTTGTATTTGGAAAGTATATTTTATATTTTAACATGTATTGTAAAAACAAATATAAATTTACTTTAAGGACAATCATATGCCTTAGAGAGAGAGCCTACATATCAAATTAATTAAAATAATTTTAAATATTAGATAATATTTTTAATTATTTATAAATATTTACTTAATACTTAAATTATTAATGAATTTTTGGATTTTAATGGCGAAATTTATTTCTAGTGATTAATTATTAATTCATAGTTATTAATTTATTTATAAAAATAATCAATATACTTCCAATAATCTAACAGCGGGTTTAGGATTTTTTTATATCAATACAATGGCACATGTGTTTGTATGCGAATCTTGCTCTTAAAACATATAATTCCACGAAGATATATTTTAACACTACAAAACTGTAACATTGGCCTTTTGGTTTCCTGGTAAAGCATTGCATCTCGTCTATTCCGGTGTAAAGTGCTAGAAAATCGCCGATCGCAAAAGAGCACATCTACTAAATCACCGAGATAGGCTCGCTCGCGTCTTGTTTCGTTTCTTAAAATAAAGCTTCGTCCCTCGAGTAGTTTTCGGTGTTTTATAATTACCATAAGAAAGGCGACGGCGAAACCTGCACCACCGAGGACAGCCGCGTGCTTCTGCATGAAGTTCTGTGTGGCCTCGACGCAGCCCCAGGGATAAGCGTTGTATTGGTTGATCGAGTCCGGATATCGATTGCAGGCTATTGGCTGAAATATTCCACACACAATAATAGAGCGCATATACGCGTATAACCACACACACGCGCATACAGAGTTAAAACTCGCGAAATGCAATGAGATATGCTTGTGAGAAAGTTTGGTGAAAGCGGACGTGGATCGCTCGAGGCCCACGACTGGTATTTCTGAGTATGCTCGTGGATACTTCGAGTACGGGGTGATTTTACGCGTATGACAAAATAAGATAAGGATAATGATCGCTAGATGAAAAATATTAATTGTATAGGTTACTCTAGGCGCGTGTTTAAATTTCCGATTGGTGATTGTTCTCTATAAATCTTCAGATATCTCTTTTTACATTCGAGTATTATTGAGTTTACAAAATAATAGCCTTAATTCATCACAAAATCGATACTATAATACAGTATATTATTTGGCATTACTCTTAGATATGAATTATAATTCTTTATTGCAAATTTTATTGTTAGACCTATTAAATAAAAAAAATGTTAAAGTAATATTTACAGAACTATTTATAAATCAAATGAATAATATATTAATATGGTCAATTTAATTAATCGTAAAATATCACATAACACAGAATAATATTACGAGAAAGATTATTCTTATCGTCAAAAATCAATCTTACCCTTCCATCCGTCATTTCACGGCAGCAGCTGATTGGTACTTCATTGAAATATCTAGACCAATCTTGCCAACTTCGAACACCACAACAATGAAGCTACAAAGAACGAATTAATTAATACGGAATTGTTATAATTTTAATAAGAGTATTAGGTATTGCCAATCTCTATACATATGAAATTTCGCTTATTCACGGAAATCCGTATAGTCAAATAAACATAGAGAAAAATATTTATCTTATCTACAAAATTGACTTCCTATGATTTAAATCCATTATATATGCTAAAATAGTTCTTAAAAATTTGATACATTATGACAATTCTATAATTTAATCAAGTTTCAGTGTTGAAAAATAAATCAGAATCATTTACCGATTTAAATTCCAGATTTAGTGATGTATTACTAATTCAAAGTTTTAAATTGCATATATGAATAATTTTGTATAGTATTGTACTTTGATTTTTGACATTTTTTATTTGAATTAATTATATGAAAAAAAAAATAAAATAAATACAAATACAAAAACTAAAATATTCAATAAATTTTTATTTGATATAAAGGAAAATAAAAGTTTGCAAAACAATTTATTAAGTATTAAATTAAATATTTTATTTTTGTAAATTTATTGATTTTATGAATATTGATTACATATCATAAATGAATGAAAAAGTATAAAAAATAATATAAATTCGATAGGAATAAAATATAGAATAAATTCTAACCTTGGATTGAACGAAATCCCAAGCTTCTGTAATTTCTTTCTTCTCTCTGTAAAGATGCATCGAGTTTTGCATTTGCTGCTGCAGAGTTTCAATAAATTTTTCACGGAAAACGTAGCCCAATACACCACCAATCAAAATAATAACGAACAGCAATAATACAATTATGAAATACTGAAAACAAATTCATCTATAAATTTTAACGAACATTAATACATTTTTTATGACAATATCTTAGATAATGATATCGTATAAACAACAAAGCAAATTCAGTGTCAGTTCATTTACAAAACAAAAAAGAAAATAAAGTATATTGGTTGTGGTAAGTTAAAATGTTATCAATATATAACAGTTAACATTCATGTATGAATGGATATTTATTTTTATGTACAATATTCTTTCGGAAACAAAGATTTTACCGCTATATTACTTTTAAGGACAAAAAATCTTTTTTTTCTTCATATTTTTAACAAAACTGTGATCACTTGCTTTAAATTCTATTAATTTAATTTATATTTGAAGTTGATTAATATATAACTTATAACTACTAACTTATAACTTATAACTACTATTTAGGTAACTAATTACTATTGATAATTAAAATTTATTCCTAATGTTGTTCCTAATTTATGATTAAAATGTCTATTAATTAAATTAATTTTTTTTCTATAAATAGTAAATTAAAAGTAACTCTTTTTTTTATACACAAATTATATCCAATTAAATTTTCACTACTTTCCAAAAAGAAGCTTTTACTTAATGCGTTACATCAGCTTTCATAATAGTGATTAATTAAAAATCAAAATTAAAAGTCAAAGAGTTGTATTAAAGAATAACTTTTTTGATAATTTTTTTACTTTGACAGTGTCAAAAGACATGCATGATCAGCAACTGATATATATGCCAAAGATAGTTTATAGTATGATATTAGCAATAAGTATTTGGCACTGAGTCTTTTTACATTGGTTTAGAAAATGAGGCAATATCATTTTTTTCTTCTTCTTTATATTTGATGTCTTTATGAACTTTATTTTGATTTGTTATAACTTACATTATATTTTTCTAAAATATGTAAAATTATATAAAATATATAAATATATAAAATTTGCAAATATTTTTAATGGAAAAGTATAAAATTATATTTACAAAATTTAATCATTATCTAAACAAATCCTTACGTATGAACTATTTTTCATTCTAAAGTTTACGTACTTATTTTGTTATTTTTAGCAATTAAATGGCATTTCTATTTTTATTCAAGTCATCATATTCGTAAAATAGACAATGGTATTAAAAACATACGAACAATGATAAATCAAAATTCATAATTCATTCAAATTCCTGGAATATTATAGTAATCTGAATTATAGTTGAAGTCAAGACTTCTATTTATCGTTTTTTGTTAGAATGCGTTGATAACAAGAGATAAAAATATAGTACAAAGTACGAAGATATATAGATATATAAACACAAGTTCTATTTAAAGATTATAGTATTTTAGTCAGTATTAATTCATTCCTCATTATATGTTTTCTATTTATCTTTACATATATATATATATATATATATATGTACATATGTACATATACAAAAATAAATTTCGACATAATTTATCATGTATTTTCTAGATAAGTCTTTGCAAATTACAATTTCATACATTGAAACAAATTGTATTTAAAAAATATATTGTTGAATTATTAATATACTATTAATTAAATTAAATTTTAATATTAGTTTACTTTGAATTTAGCTAAACTTGAAAATTTGGGATAACCATAGTGTAGCGGCCAAATAGGCGATTAAAAATACGTCCAACTGGAGTAGGGCACAACAACGAAAATAGATAAATATTATTAAAAGCGCTAGTTACGCTTTCATTATTTATAAGTATTCCGAGTAACCACATAATAAAAAATTGACAAATTTCCAGACGCACTTTTAATTTAACTATTAAGGTCTCTTCCTCATCTGACATAAATTTTAATTTTCCTATTGCATTATTCGCTACGATCAGTCTTTTTTGAAATTATCTCTATTTAAAATTAGACTTAATATGACAATGTGATCACCTATAAATTGCACAAAAATCGGATTACTCTAGGCTCAAGTTCTTTTTTTACAATAGAGAATATGTAGTATTTAATAATGAAAAGTATTAGTGTTCAACTGCGTTACCCACCATAAGGAGCATGCATTTAATTTCTCGCGATGCACCAATGCAGCCGAAGAACGCAATTATGGAGACGATGATACCGCCGACGAGGAGTACGTAGACGGTGCCGGTAAGTAGATTATTGCCGGTCAGTTCGCTCACATAATTCACTTTGTCAACCAGTGCCCAAATCGCCAGGCCCGTGATGCATATTCCGCCAATCTATAAATCAAATTTCAATTATCCTTTAGCTGACACTTGTATTGTATGAGATATATAATCTAGTAAAGTTGTACAATTTTGGTGAATTTTTATGCACTTTATCGATGGGCGAAAGTGAATATTTTTCACAGTTCTTTTTTATTCAATATGCTTTCAAGTAGTGAAAAAATGTTAACGACAATGTCAATGAATTTAAAATTAAAATTATATTTATATGCAATATATAAAGTGTTCATTAAACGGAAGTATTCATTAGTTAATCTATTTGGCAAACAAATTAAGTATATTTAAAATATTTAATGTTTCAATTATAATAAGCTATGTAAATTCTCTATTGTAAATTAAATTTAATCGGTAGAGAAATCGGACATTCCTTACGTCATACGTTTATTACAATAATAAGTAATAATAATACTAATATGAATATATAAGATATAAGTTATTTACCTTGTAGCTATATAACGAATTTTAACAAAATCTTTAAATAATTAAGGATTTATAATTCATTCTTTTGATCTATATTGAAAAATTAAGTAAAATTCAACACTTTGTGTAACATTACTTTAATAAAATAATCAATAAATAAACACTTCTTTTCTATTAACAGTGTGAAATTGCGCTAAAGTTTTCAGTAGTCGCGATTTTATTTTAATTTGGAACGGAATGAACAAATCATTAATTATTACTTTTCCATGTATGTATCAATTACTGAACTTATGTCTTTAGGATAACCTAAAAAATCAATTGTAAATAATTTTAAACAATGCAATTTCGCTTTGAAAAACTCATTGCGTATTTAAATTAATTTTCAAAAATTACATTTAAAATACTATATTTTCAATTTTAGTAATATAAATATTGTAGTGATAATAAATATGACGCCCTTGAAGTTTAAAAAATTGCAGGCATATGTTCCATTACAGTGAACGTCACTTATTTTGTGTAAAGTAATGGATGGGATAGTCATACAGAAAATAGAATCATATGTGATAAAAAATCAGTATTACATATAGTCTCCATGTTAAAAGTGGATATTCAAACGTCTGTTCTTAGCAGCTTATAAATAATGACAAAAATTTTTATGTTGAACGTATGTAGAAAATCAATTTCTTTCATTGGCTAGTAAAAGAAAAATTTAGTTGTTAAAACAATAACTATAATTTGAATATTTGCACTCTACTGAACTGAAGCAGTAATTTAATAAAAAATATTTTTAATAATAATGAGGATGAATAATGTTTTGACTTCATAAATGTTTATACTCAATTAATATAGTGGTTGATATGCAAAATAATGCTAGAATTACTAAACGCGGTAAGAAGACTTGCATAGTAAACTGCGTATCAAATGCAAACGATCGAAGCTGATATGTAAAAGAGAGAGTGACACCATCTGACTCAGTTTCTCTTTTTGTCTTTTAAATGCACTTCACACAAATGCGTATTACTTAATTCAATAGTTGCTATTGATAATTAATGACGTGGTACTATGTTTATAACGTTTTTAATAAATATTTATCTAAATTATATATTTTTTCATTTATAAAATTCATAGATATAATAGCATATAATATATATATATATAATTTATATTTTAATATTACTTTGTAGTTAACATCCGTAATGTAAAAATTTATTCATTGGAAAATATGAAAGTCATTACTTTTGTTTTTGGAGTGGCAGCTTTTGGTTAACTGATATGACAACGGAAATTACAGTAACAGCTACCAAAGTGTAGTTTTTTTTTGTAAAGGATTTTTGACTAAAAATAAATAATTCGAAGGTCATGTATTTATTGTATATGTAATATATTAAATAACAATAGAATTGGCGCCAAGGTTATGTTCTTATTTAACGAATATAAAGTCGTCAATGCCTGTATTTTCCATATTACGTAATTTAAAAAAAAAAAGAAACGAAGACGAGATAGATAGTGATAGTACTCGGTCATTGATTTTGATTTATTTATTAATAAATGATGGCGTACATTACTAATATTAATTGCAAGTACATTTTTAAGCGCGCATTTGTTCGCTCTCATTATTTAATTCACTGGTTCCAATTAAATTGACGAGTTCAATTTAACAGCGCACATTACATAAAACACGCGCATTAAAGTCGGGAAAATAGAGCAAAAAATGCCTAGCCAAAAAGCGCTAAATTAAGCCGTTAAAATATCCCACGCGCTAACAACACCGTTGATAAATAAAGCCATTACAAAATTGACCCAATAGTGAATGCAGAGACACGCCCACATATAAGTACACGAAAATACTGGATAGATTTCGTCTTTTGAGAGGGATCATTGAGTGATACTTACGAAAATGATGAAATTTATGACGAAGAGTGTGTACTTCATACAGCGGCCGCAGCTGTCCATTTCTGTATCGTAGCCCATCCTTGGTTGCTATCTGAAACAATTGTAAGCAGGTAAGATGAGTCGGTTAACATATATAATATATCAGCTGTATAAATTAATACGGAGTCTATGCGTAAAAGTCTATAAAGTTAATAAGTTTGCTTCAGCGAGTTTCTATAATTCTTTTCTGCGATTCATAATTAATCTACACAATGGGAATATTCCTAATTCAATGAATATTTTTACTTGATATAGCATAATAGGACACTGATTATGTTAAGTATTTGCAATAGATATACCGATAAAGACTATTTATAATTGATCCACGCATGAAAAATATTATTTACAATTTAAAATTTGAAAAGGAACTTTTGAAGGAGTTCGATCAAACACTATATCACATTTTTTATATACTTACAGAATGTAAGATTTTTTAATTTTTATAAAGAATTTATATAGAAACGTAAAAAATGTCAGTAGTAATCGAATTAATATAATAAAAGATGCGAATATAGTTTATAAAAATAGTATAGTGAATCACATATGTACATTATCAATTTAGTCTTACATGCATCGGGAATATATTTGTATATATATGTGTGTGTGTGTTTGCATGCATATGTATATTTAAAATAATTGTAATAAGACTATGATTAAAGTTAATGTATTTAAAAATTGCTAGAATCATCTAGTCTAGAAACAGTACTTGCGATAAAGTGTCTGATTTGTAGAATTGAATAGAAAAAAAAAGAAACGTTGACAAGTAATATAAATTCAAGTTCACGAGAATGAATTATGTATTACGTGAAAAATACAACTGCAGTGATAAGATCAATTGAGATTGCATATGTAGCTAAGATTATGGGAAAAACGTTTTACCGTGAATCCCTTGTGTTTGTAGCTGACGTAACCAAAGTCTATTACGATTAGTGACCGACTTTATTTACCTCCCCGTTTACTTGTAAATATTCCCATCATCTCAGACCAATCATCTCAATTTATCACTTCCGTTTTTATTTCCTAAGTTTGCGTGGTTTTATTACACTTCATCATTTTATATCTCTTCACTTTTAGAATAGCTTTTAAACTCATAGAAACTATGTGTAATTACTTTTTTGTAGCCTTCAAAGAGTCGTCGCTCATATTTTTAATTTTTAAGTTTATCAGACGTTCGTCTAATTATCATATAATTTTACATTTTTATAATTTTTCGTTACGAAAATTGAGTATGCTTGGCTCTTATAAAATTTTCACGTTATATATCATTACTGAATTATTAAAAAAATGCAAGTAACCATTGTTTGGCAGTACGTAAAGAAATATTAAGTAAGGTAGTCCAATCGCATTATAATGTATTTTCTATGTATATATATTTGATGTATTATATATTCTATGCAATACATTGTAGGTATGTGATTCACTTTAAATATAATTGAAGCATATTTAACGTATATAAATTTTTCTTCGCGTGTTTTATTAAATTGGGTTATAGCTTTGTCAAGGTCTTCATATAATTTTTTTTTTCATAAAATTTTGATTTGGAGTTGGCAATTTACGAATCATACGTTTTTCAATCGTAAAAAATCTTCTTCATTATTTAAAAAATTAAAAATGTTCTGTATCTTGTAAATTGACTATTATATTATCACGAGTAAAAACTTACACTGTTTCACTCTAGGCAATATTAATTGTTCATTACAAAAGTAAGCATTAACACATTATATTATTCATACAATTTTTTTTTTTGGTTAGTTTATGTTAGTACGTTGTTCATTGCAAAGAATTAAGATTGAGTTAATTTAATGGTTCATTAAAATTTTATAAAAGACAAAATTCACAAAAATTGTAAAACTTGATAAATAATTAATGATATAATAGCGTAATTTATTTTCAGGATAATTTCTTTTTAATTTTTCACATATATTATTTACATTACTATATTTGATACATAAAAAATTTGTTTGAATACTTTTATATTTTTAGCCTACCCATGACTCAAACAGTGACACGTACACTAATAATACACTGAAGGCCTTACACACTAAAATTGTTCTCTACGCTTATTTTTTTAAATACAATAAAATTTATAATATATGTTCAAAGAAGATAAGAAAAATATTGTAATTCATATATCCAAAAACATTGATATTTAAATTATGTTTCTAAAATTACAATAATTGTAACTTTAATATATTTTTTCGGCTTTTATGGTTAAATATATTTTCATAATTTTTATATAATACAATATACTATTATGCCAATTTAAGTTAATAATATATATATGTTTCTTAAAATATATAATGCCTTTTATTTTATAATGATTTTCAAAGTAAATGTTTCAAATTAATAGTTATTTTTACATTTGTAATGATTTAAATAATTTTTTATATCAGTCTATATTATTAACAGTAATTACTATAGCTGGTTTGTAAGAGCATTAGGCAGTCACACGTAAGCTCATAATTAACATTTTGTACACATTTTGCTTAACTATTTATACGTTTAGCATATATTATTTTTTATGACCAATAATATATAAATTAAAATGCAAGACAGATAAAAATAAATATATCTAAAAACGGCTTTAAAATTGATTAAATTTTTTTATTTTTCTTAAACAAATGATAATGTAACCTATGAATTGTAGTTTTCTCATAAATGAACTTAAATGGAAACTGATAGAGAAAGAAGCCGATACTTTGCATTGATAGATAATGAATTCTATATTTATTGTTTAGTTGTTCTTTATGTTTAGTTATTAAATAAACATTAAAAATTAATAAGTAATTCTTCTTGTTTAATTATTTATTTATTTATTTATATAATCCTATGTTATTTTAACTATTGTATAGTTTTCATTTAATTAGTAATAATTAAACTGTTAATCAGAACATATTTGTGATAAAAACAAACTGTAGTGATTAGATAAAAATCTTTCTAAAAAATTTTTTAATTAAGTTTATATTTATCTATGTTTTCTATTTAAGAAATTACTGTTAATATAAAATAGATTATTATTTTTCAAATATGTTAGATTTGAGTTAGTTGAAAAATAAAGGGCTACAAATTTAATTATCTGAATTATTTTTAAAATAAATCAAACACATCTGCAAATATGACTGATATTAATTTTAATAAGAATGATTATACAAATTGTAATATTGCAATAATATTGTTAGTATTTCGATTCTTGTTGATAATTAAGTAAAATAGTCGAGCAAATGTGTTTTATTCAACGACGAGTAGCTCAATGTGATTTATTCAGAAAAGTCGAGTTTATTTATTTTTGCTGATGACTTCTATTTGCGTATTTACTCGAATGACTTTCTACTTATACACAAGATAGTCATATGCACATGGATATAATTTCAAAAGTGAAGTATGTCAAAATAATTCTTGCTATTAGCATTACGTTAAGCCGTATTAAAATTAAAAAATTAGGTAATTGAATATTATGATCCTTAATAAAAATACGCAGAGATAATTAATGAGATTCATTAGCTATCCATTGACAAACATTTCAATCTGGTAAAAGACTTTTCTTTATAATTCAATATTAGCTTATACACAATTATGATAAAATCAAAGAATTATAATATAAGTTAATCAAAGAATTTTATAAGTAGAAAATCTTTGTCCATTAATGCCTTAAAAACCACTGCTTTAAATGCAATTTATTACAACTGTAATTTCATAACGACATTCTAAATCTAATAATGGAGGAATGTCCAATAAAAAATAAAATAAATTAAGAGAATTGTGAATGTTAGTCAACTCAGATTTCTATATATGTTAATATGAATGCAATATGTTATTAATAAATGATCTCTCTGTGTAATAAAAATAGTTTTATTTAACCCAAATCTAATGTTAAAATACAGCAGGATAAAAAATATATTGTATGTAAATGATAGATGAATTAAAAAAAAATACATAATACTTTAGTGGGGCACTAAAATGTTATAAATTTTATTAATGAGATCGGAGCCTTCTTTCGTTACAAAATAAATCATATAAGATATAATTAAATATACAGGTTTTAATATAAATTTTTTCCCATAATTTAATATCCTATTAAAAATGTTTAATAAATAAAATTGTCAATCTATCTTTGCTTTATAAAACAATATAATTTTGTGTTCAAGTATTTATTTATCATCCTAGCAAAGAATGTATAACATACTTATAATGTCATATCGTTAGGCGCTACAGATTTCTATAAGTAGATTTATAGATTTTTTAATAATATAATTTATATTTAAAATTTTCTAAATAGAAAAATAATTGAGACGTCAATGAAGTTTATATTAAAAAATCATATGTCTTCATGACAGCACTATTTAAAGTCAATTTAATCTAGTATATAAAACCAACTTCATACGAGCAAACAAATAAATTTTTTCTATAGTTTTTAGCTTTTTTAAGATTTATGAAAATCGATCATAAATTCGGCACTCTGAAAAATTGTAAAACATCAATTGCCATTTTTCCATTGACGACAATTTCTCTACAAAGATATCGTTGCCTCGAAACTTGCTTTTGTTATTTTACTATTTTTTTCTGTTTTTTTTTTTATGTAAACAATAATGTAAGGCTCTAATACTGTCAATATGAAGTGGATTGACATTGGTGGTCCACACTTTTCGACATAGTTCCAACGAGCTTGTGATTCTTGGATAATGTTACAGCTGGAACGCGAAAGAATTCACGCTAAGGTTGCAGAGGAGCTCAGATCCGATGTTTGAGTAGTCATGGTGTGCACTCTCTGACTCTAATATCTACGACAGAGTTTTCATACTTTGAAAGTGAGTCTTAACGAATTACCGCTATTTCGATACGTGATATAAAATTTATTAGAAATTAAGGATAAATATTACTGTACTCTAGCAAATAAAGTAACTATTACTACATATTTTAGCATTGTTATTAATCTGTTAAATGACATATATATTTGTATGCCATGATTAAAAACCGGCATTAATATTATAAAAAATTTGTAAGACTTTTTAAATTCAATATATTACTTATGATTTACAAGAAATTACTCAAATC